TTGTAGCTAAGTGTGGTCACATCGTTCTAGTCAATAGGATTTGAACAAAAGTGACTGTGCAACTTTAGGGGTGAAGTCCTTATAAAAGGAGCTATTTTCTCTTTGCTTGCCTTCCTGGGAACTAGAAAGAGACATGGTTGTGGAGCTGATGAGTAAGCTTTAGTTTATCTGGACAATGGCAGAGCAATGAACAAAAAGAAGCTGGGGCCCTGGATGGCTTGGGAGAATAGAATCTCCTTCCTATCCTCATCTGTCTGTCCATCTCCTTGTCATTATGTGAAAGAACAAGGTATTTCTATCTTATCTGAGTCTTTCTCTTTAGGGGATCTCCTTGCTTTTTAAGCCTAATTTCTATAGTTCTAATATAGTAATAAGAAAGCTACCCTAATGATGAAAAATATAAAGAAGTCAGGCAAACGTTCTGAAGTTCTGGAATTTCTAAGGTACTATATGGCAGAGCCCAGACTCAGACTCAGGTCTGCTGTGTTCTGTTACATCATGTCACCTTCCTTAAAATAAGCAGACAGACACAACGTGAACCCCCTGGGTTTCTCGAGAAAAGGAGTTCTGCTGTGACTGCCATGAGATTTTAGTGGTTCATCTTTCAAAAAGTCTACCAGAAGGGGGAGACTCTCACCTTTATTGAATACCTGCTGTGTACCAGGAACTCTGTGGTACGCTTTACGCGTGGCATTGCACTGAAGACACAAATGCACACAAATGCTGCTCTCAAACTATGCACAATGACATGTACTTAAATAGTTCCACATGAGAGACAGAAAGTGCTAAGTGAGTGCAGAGGAAGGAGAGGAGGTACCTGGCTGTGTGGGATTGGGAACAGCTTCAAGAAGGAGGTGGCACTGGGTTTGAGTCTTGCAGAATAGGTAGTATCTGGGGGCCAAGGCATTGCAAGTGGAGAAAACACCATGAGCAAAGGACGAGGAGCAGGAGAGCACTAGAAGCAGGCCCTTAGCATGTCCAGAATGTAAGCTCCCTGATGAGAGCAGGTAGGTGACAAGAACAGGTAGGCTGATATCAGATGAGGGAGGGCCTGGAGTGGCAGGCTGCAGAGTTCAGACTTCATGTATGGGATTGAGGGATGCCTGTAGAAGTCTGCATAAGATGTTGGAAAAATCAGAGCTTCAGAATTGATGAGCATTTCTAAGCCATGACTGTGTCCCAGGCGCTGGACAAAGATGAATCTACCAGTAATGGGGACAACAGAGTGGAGGAGGACAGACAGGAAACCAGAAGGCCAGCGAGGAGGCTAACTCAGGAAGCAGCAGCAGGAGAGAGGGGTGGGGTTGACAGAAGAGATGTCACAAGGGCAGGACTGACAACACTTGGCAGCCTCCTGGGTGTGGGAGGTAAGGGAGCAAGAGGAACCCAAGATAACACAGAGGTTTGTTTTTGACTAGAAGCTTGAAGGAGAGAAAATTACTTAAAGATATTCTGGTTAGCTGTTTTCTTAATTAACACAGGGAATGGGAAATTTTACAATAAGCTAAAAAGGCCTCCCTTTTCTAAGGAATAGTTTATAATTAGATATATAAAAGGTATGGTTAAAGCACATTCCCTTTCTCTTAAGATAAAAGCGTCGGCAGAGATTTAGGATTCATGATCCTCTCTGGAGACTAAAGCAATTCCATCTTGGATGCTAACCTGCCAGGATGACTTTTGATTAACCCCAGTTCCAGAAATGCCTTTTAGATCTCCAGTTTATCTATTGTTCTTTGTGTAAGAGCACGTACTTACTGTAAAGCCTGCCCTTAGGGCAAATCCCTACCCATTCCCTCTGAGGCAGGTGTGCCCCTCCGCTGTGGTATATAATCCCTGGGTCTGGTGGGTAATGGTATGGGGATCCACCATCTTGTCTTGTGACCAGACAAGACACAGACATGGCTTCTGTTCATTACGTCCCTACTAAATGTTTCTTTCTAAGAAACTGGGTTTGTCGGACTCTGTCTTTGGCCTATCAACTAGAAGACCACAACAATGTTGTCAAGACCCTAGTGTGTAACTCCGGTTTATTATATATAATTTTAACTGTCAGAAAACTTTTTAATTTGCAAATTTATTCAAAGTTTGAAAATACCTTGGAGAGTCTTAGAAATCTTAGAAATTAGTGATTGGGATATCTCTATGTTCATGGTATCTATAGGTTTCATATCCACTCAGAAGGCTTCTGAAAAAAGAGGTAATATGAGGAGTTAATAATTGTTATGTCTGGCTTCCTCTTTCTTTGCCTTTCTCTCATATCTTCAATCATCTTTTTTCACTGGACACGGATAACTCTTCGGGAAGTGCTAAACTCTCACAGTGAAGTCAAATCAGAGTTAAAGGCAAATGTTTAACCAATCATGTTCAAATACAAGCTAGCAGATGAAGAATTTTAGGCTCAAAGAGTCAAATACTCTGCATTCCTGAGAAATCTCAGTTTCTTATTCTGGGAAATGTTTTCACATTGCACTTTGCTGCCACAGCCAAATGGGTATACCTTTTTGAATTTTTATTACTAAAAGGTTTAAATTGGGATTTAGATTAGATTTAAATTAGGAAACTGAAAGAAAACATTTTGTATCCACGCATTAAAAAAAAAAATCCACCTATAAAAAGGGTGCTAGGTGTCAGTTTCTGATGTAGGGGCAGTGTTCTCATGGAGGTAATGTAAGGCTAGGTCTGTCCACGTCATTTCTTGTTCTTTGACAGATTCTGTGGTGCCTCTGTTGCCTTGTTCAGGTTCAGAAAACTCACTCAGTGGTGTTGCAGCATCCTCATAAGGCAGCTTGTCTTACAGTCAAGCATTGTCAATCAAACCCAAGATTGCCCATCTCTCTGTACCTAACTATCCATTCTCCTGAAGCCTTGATTTTTATCAGATGGGCACCTGGCTCATCACAGCACCCACTTCCACTGGGCCAATTTTGGTTGATTTTTGTCCCCTCTCATTCTTCCTCCACTGTCTTACATCTTGGCCCCTGTATGAAAGCTATGGTGAGACCAGAGCTGGGGCCCCATCTTTCCTTAGGAGGAACAGCAGAGCTGTGAGCTCTCGTGTGGGTTGGGATGCAGTGGGTGGCAGGAGTGGGAAGCAGCTGGCATCTTTTTGGGGTCTCATTATTCACCCAACAATAGTTATTTTATATCAACTGTTTAGTAAGTACTGCTTTTGGGGGCACAAAGATAAATTCAAAATAGACTTACCTTCAAAGATCTCATAGTCTGTGGAGGAGACAGAGAGAAACAGATGATTACAACGCAGTGTGGAGGAACAGCAAGGGAGGCTGGCCCAGGGAATAAAGGGAACAGAGGCAAAGGGCAGCTGAGCCCTGAGAGTAAATGGTAAAAGCCACCCCGACTCCTTCCAGATCACACCCAACGGCATTGTCAATATCTTCATTCTCCGTGGTGTTTGACTCTTGATAAACCTCCCTCTATTTTTAATTAATTTTGTTTTAATTAAAATACTCAAATTGTAATGTATTTCAAGCATGCATCAAAACAGTGAAAATAATGTAAGAGATGGCACCTCAAGTGGTGGTTTTGTGTGACTGTTAAGAGCACAGACTCTAGAACTGAACTGCCTGGGTTCAAATTCCAACACTCCCTCCTACCACTGAGTGACGGTTGGACAGGTTATTGTCCCATTGTGCACCTCAGCTTCCTCCTCTGTCAAATAGGGGCAATAACACTCATCTGGGAGACTGAGCAGTGCTGGCACACAGTCAGCATGTAGAAGGATTAGTTTTTATGCTTTCCAGCAGGCAGCATGTACAGTGTTGTAGTCAAGCTGCTGTCATGTAAGTCCCATTCAGTGCCACACCACCTGTGAACAGTATAATATTGAGTAAGTTATTTAAGCTTTCTGTGCTTTGATTCCCTTACCTATATGAGTCTAAATTATATTAGAATAACCTCATAGGATAGCTTTAAAGGATTGAGTGTGCTCATACCTATAAAGCTTCCACAACAGTTCTGGTATACAGAAAGCTCCCAACAAATGTTAGCTGTTATTATGAAATGGAAACTCTTTACCTTCACTGAGCTTTAACAGGTGAGAACATTTTGTCACATTTGCTTCAGATCTGTTTTTCAATGGAGTAAAATTACAATTAACATGGAACTTTCATCTTCCCTCCCAATGCCCTCTGCTCATTGCCAGAGCTCTCCACTCTGACAGTGTGTTTCCTTCCTATCCATACTTTATATCTCTCCCATTCTCTCTCTCTCTATAATATAGATGTATTGTATACTAATATGGATAGACGTACATCTGTAAACAATGCATAGACTATTTTTATGTTCTCAGCTTTTTGTAAGTGTTGTCATGCTGTATATATTCATCTGCAACTTGGCTTCTCCCTTTTATCCAACTTAGTTTCTGAGACTTATTTATGTTCATTCATCTTCACTACTGTGTTGTACTTCATTATATAAATAAACTAGAGTTAATTAATCCATTCTCACAAGATGGACAGTTACGTTGTTTCCGGTTGCTGCTGTCTGTATAGCAGACTATGCTGCATCAAGCATCTTTGTGTGCACATCCTCTTTGAAGCACTCTGATTCCAGAGCTCTCATGTTTTGTTTTGCTTTAATTATTCTTTTCATATTTGACTATTCTATGAGAGTCTGGTAAGTGTCTTTGGTCTTAGAATGTTGAGGATTGTGCCAGATAAATTATATGCATTGTCTTAACTAATCCTCACTGTGATTCTGTAAAGTAGGTGGTAGAGTAGGATGATTAAAAGCAGGGATCCTGGGCCGAGTACCGGGATTCAAATTCCAGCTTCTCCATACACAAACTGTAAGGTTTTGAGAAAATCACTTAATATCTTGGGCCTCAGGTTTCCTTTCTATAAAATAGAGTGATAATTGTATCTCTTCATAGGGTTATGGGAGGAGTGAGTGAATTACTGCATATAAAACACTCAGAAAGTGAGTGGCACATAATGAATGCTATGTAGGTGTTATAATTAGTTTTAACTCTCTTTTCACAGAAGGGGAAACAGAAATGCAGAGAAGACAAGCCATGTTTCAAAAGAAATCCAGCTAAGTTAGCCCTACTGAGACATGGACTGGAAGGTAGGCACACCTGACATTGCAAACTTCCAAACCCATGCCTTCCCACCACACAGTGGAAAGCTCCTCTCTCTATGGAGCTTTGTGTTCATGAAATCTCTGTCTCCTCAGTACAAGACACTGCCTAGGAGATCTGGAGGCAAAAGCCAAGTTTCCTTGTACACCGTCCCTCTCTCGGAAGCTCCCGCTGGACCTCCAGGGGGATCAGGAACTTCTCGTTGGGTTATCACACGGGCGAGCTGACCGGCCCTGTCCTTCCACTCATGGCAGCCACAGTGATCTGGTAAAATGTAAGTCAGTTCCTATCACTTGTCTGCTTGAAACTCTCCACTGGTTTTCCATCACACTTATAAGGAAACCCAGATTCCAGACTCTGAGGTGCAAGGCCTTCAGGATGTGCCCCCTGGATTTCCGTTGACCTTATCTCCTCCCCTTACTTTAGCCACAAGGGCCTCTTTGTGTCCTTGAATTTGGCGCTTGATTTCACTTGGGGTTCTTTTGCATCTGCTGTTCCTTCTGCCTAGATATCTTTGCTTCAGATCTTCACATGTTATTCACTCCCTCATTTCACTCAGGTCTCTGCTCCAATGTCACATTCTGCAAGAAATCTTCTCTGAACACCAAAAATGACCTCTTATTTTTGCTTCCCGACCAACCAGAGCGGATACTGCCCATAGCTCTAGAGCAGATCTTTTAGGTGCTGGATTTTTGGGAGGTCCTAGAGACCTGGGAGAGAGTCTAGTATAGCCACAGTGGGAGGCCGGGGACAGGGGAAAGGGGAATGGAGGATGACTTGGGGTAGCAGCTATTTACCACCTGGTAGAGGTGACCTCAGTATTTTCATCAGTATGGCTACATCAGCACACACAACTGTATCACTAGGGCCTAGAGCTATGCCAGACAAACAGCAGGCAGTCAATAAATATTTGCTTAATTAGTTAAGTAAAAGGGAAAAATGGACAGAGAAAGCAACATTTCAAGGCAAGGAAGTCCAAACAGGTAGTATGAGGCACAAGGAAGAAAGGTAGAGAGGTGTTCCTGGCTATCGGGGGTTGATGTTGGAAGCTGGGGGAGTGGAGAAGAACCAGTCTCCCTCTTCAGAGGTTGCTGCTTCTTATGCACCTCAGGGAAAAGAGGTTGCCCTTTGGAAGGTGCTCTTCTGGTCTGCTGTGGCTGCACTGACTCTGCTGAGATTGGTCTGCTCCTCCAGGAATCTGGTTCAGCTCCACGCAGGTGGTAGGCAGCAGATAGAAAATGTGAGGTGGGCTCCCTGCTCTGTTCCCCACTGCCCCCAACAAGGCTGGCTTCACCAACATGCCACAGCAGTTATACAGGGCCCTATGCTCAGAAGGTCCCCACATTTGGTTTAATGCTTTGCTGTTGCTATCTTGAAATTCTTGATTTTTGCACAGGGGCCCCCTGCATTTCCATTTTGCACTGGGCCCTGTGCATTATGTAGCTGTGCATTATGAGTGTGCCATTCCATCAGACAAGAAAACAGCCTGCCCAAGTTAACCCCCAGCCCAGAGACAAACTAAGGTTTCTCATTATCAGGGAAACAGCCAAACCCTGGGCCTGCCTGTGTAGCAAAGTGAAGCCCATCACCCAGCCTTAGACCCTCTGGTGGCCACACAAAATTAGGCAGAAGCTTTGAAGAGCTGCTTTTCCGTATCTCAGGCGGGCCCCCTCATTTTGTTCTCAGGGAGCATTGAAGCAGTAGGAGGATATAGAACTCTCCAGTATAACGAGCGACCCCACAGAGGCCTAGGTGGGTGGAACGCATGGGGGGAGGGGACAGCCTGTGCGCATGCACACACATGCATGCACGCCTCAGGTTGTTGTTTTTGACTTCGTTTTTTAAAAATTTTTTGTTTGTCGCTGATTGGCTAAAGATGTCCTGACAACTGAATTCTGGTCTCCCAGTTTGGGAAGCTCAAAGAGTTTCCTCACAGACATTGCACTTTGCCTCCCAAGACCTGGGATAAGGTAGAAGAGAAAAGGATGACCGAGTTTAAGGCTGGGCTGAACAGAGTTCCAATACCTGCAAGTTCTTGAGTTTTTCCTGGGATTATGAAGTCCCTGCAGACAAGGTCTATCTTGCAGTTGTCTCAATACACCTAATTACTTTTTAACCAGTTAATTAATCCACCAGCCCATTCAACAACTACTGCCAGAGTCCCGGCTATGTGATGGTCACGTTTTTAACCTGTGAGGATATACACCTGTGAGGAGCACTTCTCTGGGTTTCAGCCTGTGCCTCCAGCTCTCTTCCTTGATCTCAAACGCAGTACACTCAATGTAGGCTCATGTGCCGTGGCCCCTGCCTGGGTCCCACCCAGAGTTCCCCTAGCTGAGTGAATAGCACCATTACGCAGAGAGGCCACTTAGAATGGCAGAGAACACGGGCGTCAGACTTGCTGTCTATGGTGAGGACTGGCATGTCCCCCTACTCACTGTGCCTCAGTTTCCTCATAGAGTAGAATAACACATACTAACTATTATGACCAACTGTCCAGGTACTTGAGCCAGAAAATCGGGAGTCCTATTTGATTCCTCCTTCTGTACCAACTCCGATCCCAAGTCTTGTTATATTACCTTCTAAATGGTCGAAGAATCCATTCAGTGCTCTCTTCATTATTAAAGTCCTGGTCCAAGCCACCATCATCTGCCAACTGGACTATTACACTTGTCCACTATTTAGTCATTCTATTTCCACCCTTGTCTGTTCTGTTCTCCACGCTACAGCTAAACTGTCTTCCCAAAACATCGATCTCATCATGTCACCCTGCCAACAAGACCTTCCGGGTTTCCAGACTCTGCTCACACCACACTCTCCCCACTCCCTTCGCTCTCTGCTCTGCCAGCAGGGGCTCCAGTGACATTTTGGGCCAGATAATTATTTGTTGTGAGGGATTGTCCTGTGGGTTGTAGGATGTTTAGTAGCATCTCTAGCTTCTACCTACTAGATACCAATGGCAACCCTTCTCCTAAGTTGTGACAAAAAAAAAAATCTCCAAATGTGACTGAATGTCACCATTGTCAGATGTCCCCTGAGGTGAAATCACCCCCGTTAAGAACCTTTGCTGTAAATGCTGTCCTCCCTCCTGAAATAAGGAAACAGAGGCTTCTTTGACAAGAGCACTCTCCAGGCTCTGCCCCTCTTCCTAATTCACCCCTTCTTGGCCTCACTCCAATGTCCACTCCATCATCACTTCCTGAGGGAAGTTTCTCTAATACCTCTGCCTCTCTGGTCCCCCTGTTATAAGCTCTCCTAGCATTGGGTACTTCTCCTGTGTTGTACTTATTAGCTGGTAATCAAAATAAATGATTACTAACATATTCGTAGTTTTGCTTGTACTTGTGTGATTATTTGGTTAACATCTGCCTCAGCCAACAACAGACTGTAAGCTCCATGAGGGCAGGGACTGCATCTGTTTTCCTCATAATTGGATCTCCAGGATACAATGTATCTAGCCTAGTACCTGATACACAGTAAGTCATCAATCAATATTTGTTAAACTAATAAATACATGAAGATACAGCCCCTGCCCTCATGTTGTTGCTTTCTAGGGGAAGAGATAGGTAAGGAAACAAGCATAACACAAAATTTTGTGATGAAGTAATTATACACTGGGAGTCCATGGAGCACCTAACAGTTTTGGGGAGGTCTGAGATGCTCCTTGAGGAGATTGTATTCTAGTTCCTGGCAGGAGATCTGAAGTGTATTTAAGAATTAAGTGAATGGGGGTGGGAGGGAGAAAAGGAAACTGGAGAGAGTAGGGGGCTCCAGGTAGAAGGATCAGCTTGCTCAAAGACTAAGAAGTGAGACTGCCTGGTCCTCAAATCCCTTCTTCTCTTACCCTTCTGCCTTCTTCACAATTCCCGTTTGTCCCAGGCTAAGGCCTTGCTTAAGCGATCTCTGTCAGAAGGATGGAGTGAAAGCAGGGAGAGAGTCCCTTCTGGCTCACAAGCAGAGTGGCCAACCATCGCAGTTTTTTCTGTGACTGTCCTGGCTTTAGCACTGAAGGGTTCACGTCCTGGAAACCCCTTGGTCCCTGGATAAACAGGAAAAGTTGGTCACCCTGCTCAGAGGGTTTATTCTGGTCACCCAAGCACCTGGAAGGAGAAACAGGGCATCTGAATGTCTCGGAATGATCCCTGGACTGGGGCCAGGACACCTGCGTTTGAGTCTCAGCTCTGTCCCACACCAGCCTTGTAATTCTGAAGAAGTTGTGTCTCTAGCCTCCCTATATTGACAACATTTGCTTATTTTCTATATTCTGTATGTTCTGGAATTTTGGGTCTTGATCCTAGAGAGATTCCTAGGGCTAGTTAATCTCCAGAGTTAGCAAATGGCTCCCCATGGAGCATGCCTTTGATATGTGAACCAGCCAATCCAGAGCTCGCACCCCCAACCCTCTCCTTTATCAAACTCTCATACACCAATGCAGTATCTCCCCTGCCCTAAACCACCCCAGGGCCAGGTCCTGGACAACTAAGGATCACCCCTATAGCCCAGAACCTACTGAAATTATCCAAACTACCCAAAGCTAAACTTACTCAGCATATTTGCAGCACCTCGCCCATTCCTTCCCACAGGAACCCCAGTAAAGGCTCTGAGTCACGCATGCCCTCCTCTCCCCACTTCTGCCTCCTGACTGACCCAGCGCTTCCTGGGGTGGCCTGCATGGCATGCCGTACCTCCTGTTCTAGGGGCCTGTGAGTATAAACTTTTTCCTCCCTGACAATCATTTCCATTTCTTACCATGCCTGATTAAAACAAACTCCAGGTCCATTTTATCACACTTCTCCCTGCCCTTATTGGCCCTGCTGCCTCACAGGGTTGTTGCAAGAGCCTAATAAGATAATGTTTATAAAAATGCTTTGTCATCTTTCAAGGATAAGGTATTTTTATGATCATTCTTTTCTGGATCATTTAGGTTTGAAAATGCTGGAAATTCCCACAGGGCCCTGTTGAGGATGCAGGGAGACCGTTCTTAGGAGGATGATCCAGGTCACCGCCTTGGGCCCCTCTCCACTGTGAACAATCCATCTGTCAGGCAGCAGTGGCCAAGGCCCATTTGGACAGCAGCCTCCTGGACTCCTGGTCTGGCCGCCTCTTCTCCAGCTTGCACCTCTTTTTCCTTTCACTGGGGGAACAAACACATTTAGAGTTGAATGGAACCACTCCATGAAATGCTTGTCCTCAGGAGAAAAGCTTCCCATTCCTTTGGAGAGCCTGCACGCCACAGAGCAGGGCTCCCCCAAAGCGTTCCTCCAAGAAAAGCATATGGGAGCTGTTAAAGCCAAGAGGCCAGCACACTGGGTGGGACCTTCCTCATAAAAGCAGGAGCCTGCATCCTCTCTTCTAAATCTCTTCCTGGAAACAATCCTCTTCTCTTCCAGCCGAGGGCTGTTTACTCTGGTTTACCTCCCGGCTGCGTGGTTCACATCCACGCGGCCAACACAAAGGCAGTGTATGACCCGTGACTACCTCTCAGGCACCCAGGCTATGAAACAAAGTTTTGAGCAGGCTGTGGGCAGTTATGTGGTTCTGTGGCTTCAGTGAGTGCTAAGGGGGCATGACAGTAGCTCGAAGGGTCTTGGAATAGAGTTGCCAGAGAAAACACAGGATGCCTGAATATTGCACAGGACATACTTACACGCAAAAGTATTTGCTATGTATCTGAAATTCAAATTTAACTGGGCTTCCTGCATTTTTATTTGCTGAATCTGGTAACCCTAATTTAGGAGCCCATTTCTGAATCTATTTTTTTTTACTTCCCGTGTAGAACAGGCCCATGTCCTTCATTTCCTGTGGAGATTTCTGGGTCTAGTCTTTTGTTCCTGTCCCCTGCTGCATGGGTCATAGACTCCCAGGCATCACCAGGTGGGCTCCAGAAGTAACTTGCTGTGAGGTCTATAACTAATTAGGTTTCTACTTAATGGGCAGATGAGAGAGCTCAGTGCGGGATTCGAGGGTGATCAAATTGGCGAATCTTGCAAAGTCTTGAAGAGAACACGTGTACACACAGAAAACATGAGTTTGGGTGGGTTAAGTGATGTCCAGGGCCTTGGGCAGGCAGTGGTCTGCTGTTGTGATGCTGGAGGGGAAGGGTTAGACACCAGCCCTTCTGCAACATATCTTTGGCTTTGGGGTCTTGACGGCTGCCATGGGGAGCCATCCTTAATTGTATCCAGGAATTTGCATGGGTCCTGGAGAAAAGGTGTCGGGGTTACAATCTCTTTTTCTAGACTTTCACAGTCATAAAGGCATATGTGAACTAGGTGGCCTTGGTGAAGTCCTGACAATAGAAAAGGCAGTGAGGGACCCCAAGAGGAAACACTGCACAAAGAGGGAGGTGGGAAGGAGCAAGGCTCATGAAGGAGAGTGCCTCTCCAAGGTACAGTGTGCAGCTGATACGGGGGACCACATGGACCATGGCCCAATTAGGGAATCCTGGGGGGTGAAGAGAAATAGGTTACACGTGTGAACAAAAAGAGCTGTGCCATTATGACTTACACATGTAGGCCCCGAGGGGGTTTTCTGTTAGGCATCCTCCTTACAGGCTGGCTTCTCTCCTTCCTTGAGGAGCACCAAGATCAGGTGGACAAATAAGCATAACTTATACAGGCAGCTGTGGGGACAGCAGGCTGGGCCCTGGGACCAGCTGGAGTGGCGGCTCAGTCAGTCCTTATCTCTGGAGATCGCCTAAGACCTTGGCACACGCTCAGCCATACCTGCAGGTTGGAAGCAGCTGAGATGGAGACGGGTAGGTCAGAGCGTGGTGGTTCTGAGGTCAGCCCACTCGGTGAATCTGAGTCCCTTCTCTTCCAGTAGCTGGCAGCAGGAGAGCAAAAAGAAGGACTAAGGTTGGGATAACGGGCACAGATGGGGTGTAGGGTGCGGGGTGTTGCAGTGTGCATGTATGCATGCAATTTTTAGGGACATTTGAGGACAACCTGCACAAATGTCTGAGCTTCAATTTAGCAGGTGGGGGCTCAGAGTTATTATAATTAGGTTATTAAAGGAAATGGGGCATTATTTTATAGTCAAAGGTTAGTGAAGTCGAGACTTTTAGAAGACACGTATCTCCAAGGAGCTGTCCATTGGGATACAAGTTGACACTAGATTGGACTTCTTTTGATTAAACTTCTTTCAACACCAGATTAAATTTTTTCCAAATGGAAAATCTTGCTCAATGTTGTCAGTTCTTATCTTGTTGTCAGTTCTTATCTTTTACTGTTCAATTCATAAGGAAGAAGGAAAGAGGAGTGGGGTCAGGAGCTACTTTTAAAAGGCACCCCTTTCCCTGCGTGGTCACAGCTCTATCCCAGTTTTGAAGAGTGGAGTGCAAGCTGGATTCCAGCCCCTGTTGCCTTCCCAGCTGTGTGCCCCAGCACAACCCTACATTTTCAAAAAGAATGCTCTGAAGCATGGATGCCATCGTCCTATCATGGCATTGTTATAGTAATAGAATTGGTGAACACTTGCTATATACCAGGCACTAATCTAAGCACTTTACGTATGTCTCATCTGGTCCTCACAACAGCTCTTCAGAGATGAGGAGACAGAGTAACCAGCGAAGGTCAACACAGTAATGGTAGAGCTGAGTGTGTTGTCCTAACCACCTGCTGTCCTACTAGACATGGAAAGATTCACAGCAGCAGAGCAGGGAAAATGAGTCAAATGGAGGCCAAAACTGAGAACTAAGAGATTTGTGAGAATATTCAAGCAAGACAAGGAGAAAATAAGAAGGAAAGTAAAAGTACCACCACAAGCAAAAGTGGTAACAAAATGCTTGATATGAAGTCCTATTTACCAGTGATAAGCCACATGGATAGTTAGTTATGAGCTTTTTTGTAATCAACAGGAAGAGGAAAATCACAATTTTCAAGATTCCCAGTGTCTCTAAGGTGTAAAGCTCAAGTATCTGGAGAGAAGCATAACTATTTGTGGAACTAAGATAAAAATGAATTGCCTCTAGTCAGTTTTTGAAGAGCCATTTGTCCAGGGTCTCACAGCTGCTCAGCCAGAATTTGAACCCCAACCACATAGTTCCAGAGCCCACATTCTCAGACATAGCCCCCATACTGCCTCTGGGCTGGAGCTGGTGTTCTCGATAACTGTTTATTGAGTGGATAAGTGAATCACCAATGGAGTTGGAAAAGGAGTTCAGGAGTTTCTGGAGCAATGAGGCTGCTGCTAGATACTATGACATTCACTCTTATCTAGGGGCTGTTCATAAATTACATATCAGGGACTACCTGTATTAACAATAACCTTATCACATTCCCAACTCCAAAGAAAACTAACATCTAAATGCATTCCCTTAA